AGTACATAGGAGCCTAGTACATAGGAGCCTAGTACATAGGAGCCTAGCACATAGGAGACTAGCACATAGGAGACTAGCACATAGCACACTAGTGCATAGGAGCCTAGAGCATAGGAGCCTAGAGCATAGGAGCCTAGAGCATAGGAGCCTAGAGCATAGGAGCCTAGAGCATAGGAGCCTAGAGCATAGGAGCCTAGAGCATAGGAGCCTAGTACATAGCAGACTAGTGCATAGGAGCCTAGAGCATAGGAGCCTAGAGCATAGGAGCCTAGAGCATAGGAGCCTAGAGCATAGGAGCCTAGAGCATAGGAGCCTAGAGCATAGGAGCCTAGAGCATAGGAGCCTAGTACATAGCAGACTAGTGCATAGGAGCCTAGTGCATGGGAGCCTAGTGCATGGGAGCCTAGTGCATGGGAGCCTAGTGCATGGGAGCCTAGTGCATGGGAGCCTAGTGCATGGGAGCCTAGTGCATGGGAGCCTAGTGCATGGGAGCCTAGTGCATGGGAGCCTAGAACATAGGAGCCTAGAACATAGGAGCCTAGCACATAGGAGACTAGTACATAGCACACTAGTACATAGGAGCCTAGCACATAGGAGACTAGTACATAGCACACTAGTACATAGGAGCCTAGAGCATAGGAGCCTAGTGCATAGGAGCCTAGAGCATAGGAGCCTAGAGCATAGGAGCCTAGTACATAGCAGACTAGTACATAGGAGCCTAGTGCATAGGAGCCTAGAGCATAGGAGCCTAGAGCATAGGAGCCTAGTGCATAGGAGCCTAGTGCATGGGAGCCTAGAGCATAGGAGCCTAGTACATGGGAGCCTAGTGCATGGGAGCCTAGTACATAGGAGCCTACTACATAGGAGCCTAAAATGTATTTTAGAGGTGTTCAATGCCGCGGTTGAAATGTGAGTTGAATCTTGAAGATTGCCATTTTCAATAGCTTTTCATCTGTCGAAATCTTCTAGATCAATGGTTGTCAACATGAGCTATAGAGGGCCTCAGATGTGGCCCCGGACATCAATGACATCAAATTAAAAAAACTAAGCTGTGTGTGTCAGTATTCAGTGATTATAATAAAACAAACTATCTGAGTATCAATGGTGATGTGTGGACAGCAGTGGAGGAATATTCCGTACAGAGGGGGGTCTTCTGTTAGGGTCATTCTGGGGGGGTTGTCTCCTCATCCTGTGTGTGTGATTCTGTACAGTGACCCCCGCTGGGCGAATCTATGACTTCAGACCATGGCACTTGAGGGAGGGAACACACTGCGAGGGAAGAATTCATTCTGGGAGATGAGTCACCGTTCAGAGCGATTTCTGTGCTTTGCCTGACGGTCATTTTTAGGTGTTTTATAAAATGGAGCACATGGATTGCTTAGAAACACTGGCAAATAAGTAGTTTGTAACACTTGCATTTGTACAGGGCCACAGAATATGCTGGTGCTATATAAGGGCTCTTCATCCCTGGCCATGTGGGATCTCCTGCATGGTGGGGGTTGGAGAAAGACCTGGCAACCTACCCTGTAAAATAACTGCTAAGAGAATTCATGGAAAAAGTCGCTTACGAGTGACGGTCCATGCAATCGCCAAGGGTTGGATACAACTGGATAGATAGACAGACAGACAGACGATAGACAGACAGACGATAGACAGACAGACGATAGACAGACAGACGATAGACAGACAGACGATAGACAGACAGACGATAGACAGACAGACAGACGATAGACAGACAGACAGACGATAGACAGACAGACAGACAGACGACAGACAGACAGACGACAGACAGACAGACAGACGATAGACAGACAGACAGACAGACGACAGACAGACAGACGACAGACAGACAGACAGACGACAGACAGACAGACAGACGACAGACAGACAGACAGACGACAGACAGACAGACAGACAGACAGACAGACGACAGACAGACAGACGACAGACAGACAGACGACAGACAGACAGACGACAGACAGACAGACGACAGACAGACAGACGACAGACAGACAGACGACAGACAGACAGACGACAGACAGACAGACGACAGACAGACAGACGTCTGTCTGTCTGTCGTCTGTCTGTCGTCTGTGTCTGTCTGTCGTCTGTCTGTCGTCTGTCTGTCTGTCGTCTGTCTGTCGTCTGTCTGTCTGTCGTCTGTCTGTCTGTCTGTCGACAGACAGACGACAGACAGACAGACGACAGACAGACAGACGACAGACAGACAGACAGACGACAGACAGACAGACAGACAGACAGACAGACAGACAGACAGACAGACAGACAGACACCACAGACAGACAGACAGACAGACAGACAGACAGACAGACAGACAGACAGACGACAGACAGACAGACAGACAGACAGACAGACAGACAGACAGACAGACAGACAGACAGACAGACAGACAGACAGACAGACACAGACAGACAGACAGACAGAGACAGACAGACAGACAGACAGACAGACAGACAGACAGACAGACAGACAGACAGACAGACAGACAGACAGACGACGACAGACAGACAGACGACAGACAGACAGACGACAGACAGACAGACGACAGACAGACAGACGACAGACAGACAGACGACAGACAGACAGACGACAGACAGACAGACGACAGACAGACAGACGACAGACAGACAGACGACAGACAGACAGACGACAGACAGACAGACAGACAGACAGACAGACAGACGACAGACAGACAGACAGACAGACAGACAGACAGACGACAGACAGACAGACAGACAGACAGACAGACAGACAGACAGACAGATAGATGATAGACAGACAGACAGATAGATGATAGACAGACAGACAGATAGATGATAGACAGACAGACAGATAGATGATAGACAGACAGATAGATAGATGATAGACAGACAGATAGATAGATGATAGACAGACAGACAGATAGATAGATGATAGACAGACAGATAGATAGATGATAGACAGACAGATAGATAGATGATAGACAGACAGATAGATAGATGATAGACAGACAGATAGATAGATGATAGACAGACAGATAGATAGATGATAGACAGACAGATAGATAGATGATAGACAGACAGATAGATAGATGATAGACAGACAGATAGATAGATGATAGACAGACAGATAGATAGATGATAGACAGACAGATAGATAGATGATAGACAGACAGATAGATAGATGATAGACAGACAGATAGATAGATGATAGACAGACAGATAGATAGATGATAGACAGACAGATAGATAGATGATAGACAGACAGATAGATAGATGATAGACAGACAGATAGATGATAGACAGACAGATAGATAGATGATAGACAGACAGATAGATAGATGATAGACAGACAGATAGATAGATGATAGACAGACAGATAGATAGATGATAGACAGACAGATAGATAGATGATAGACAGACAGATAGATAGATGATAGATAGACAGACAGATAGACGACAGATAGACGACAGATAGACAGACAGATAGACAGACAGATAGATAGATAGATAGACAGATGATAGATAGACAGATAGATAGATAGATAGATAATTGATAGATGATAGACAGATAGATAGATATGAGATAGATAGATAGATAGATATAAGGGCTCAGTCACACGACTACAATGTGTTGTGTCAATGATACTTCTGACATGAGCTGCAGTGATTAATATTCTCATTCCATAGGCTTGACAAGGTCCAGGCTGTGCAATGTAGCACAATACAATAAGTCAACATTGTGATCAGGCAGTGGGGAAAGTAAACAGAATTCTCAGGGTTAACAGCAGGAGGAAGGAGGTCCTGATTCCTCTATATAGATCTTTATATCACTAGAGGGATCACCAGCAGGAGGAAGGAGGTCCTGATTCCTCTATATAGATCTTTATATCACTAGAGGGGTCACCAGCAGGAGGAAGGAGGTCCTGATTACTCTATATAGATCTTTCTATCACTAGAGGGGTCACTATCAGGAGGAAGGAGGTCCTGATTCCTCTATATAGATCTTTATATCACTAGAGGGATCACCAGCAGGAGGAAGGAGGTCCTGATTCCTCTATAATATAGATCTTTATATTACTAGAGGGGTCACCAGTTAAGCCTCATACACACGATGAGAATATCGGGCTGAATTATCTTTTTTGGGGGGGTTTTTTTTTGCATGCAAGTCTCCATATTGAAAATGAAGAGGTTACTAAAGTTATAAAAATTCTCGAACGGTAGAGGTGGTGATCTGGTATTGTATGAGAAAAATATTTGTGCTTGTCCTTTCAAATAATTTTGTGTACTAATGATCAGAATATTGTATGATGGCTTCAACAACGGTATTTTTCGTACAATTTTCTGATCGTGCGTACTAAGTGGTTTTAGACCTCATTTAGAATGCTGTGTCCAGTTCTTGAGATCTCGCTTACAAAAAGATATTGCAAAGACAGAACAAGTCCAGAGATGGGAAACAAAAGTGGTGAAAGGTTTACGGGATAAAACACATCAGGAGAGACTTTAGAAACTCAATATGCCCAGTCTGCAGAAGAGAAGGGAAAGGATGGACATGACTGAAACCTTTAAACCCATGAAGGGTGTGATTACGGTTCAGGAGGACTGTATGTTCTGCATGAAGCTAAGATGAAGAACATGAGGACATGACCTCAGACTATCAGGAGGAAAGGTCTGTACTAACCTTGGAACATATTATTTTACAGGAAAGAGTTGTTGATGCACAGAAAGTGAAATTAAACATATTTGGGCCAGATCTATACTCAGACAAGGTTAAAAAACGAAAAAAAAAAAGCAGAACCGACGGATAACTTGGTCTTTTCCTTCCGCCACTCTCACTGCGTGAGGACTGTACAGGGCCATTACTGGACACTCGATGACAGAGGACAGGAAGACAGCTTTGTGACCTGCAGGTGGCTTCCAATTAGAGGCTGGACATCTGTGCTTTGTACCGGTGCCAGACGTGGAGAATGTGCTCCTGCAGATATGGATTAATGCGAGCAGATGATGGTCAGTGAGAGTGGAGCTCAGACCAGAGGATTGTGTCTGCGGCTCTGTCAAACTTTAATTGAATTGTGACCTTTCTAGATTAGAGCATAGTCTAGAGCAGTGCTCTCTCAACCTTTTTTCAGTCAAGGCACCCTTTAAAATTGTAGGCAGCCCTGAGGCACCTTTTAAAATTATGGACAGTCCTGAGGCACCCTTTAAAATTATGGTTAGCCCTGAGGCACCCTTTAAAATTATGGACAGTCCTGAGGCACCCTTTAAAATTATGGACAGTCCTGAGGCACCCTTTAAAATTATGGACAGTCCTGAGGCACCCTTTAAAATTATGGTTAGCCCTGAGGCACCCTTTAAAATTATGGACAGTCCTGAGGCACCCTTTAAAATTATGGACAGTCCTGAGGCACCCTTTAAAATTATGGACAGTCCTGAGGCACCCTTTAAAATTATGGACAGTCCTGAGGCACCCTTTAAAATTATGGACAGTCCTGAGGCACCCTTTAAAATTATGGACAGTCCTGAGGCACCCTTTAAAATTATGGACAGCCCCGAGGCACCCTTTAAAATTATGGACAGCCCCGAGGCACCCTTTAAAATTTTATGGACAGTCCTGAGGCACCCTTTAAAATTATGGACAATCCTGAGGCACCCTTTAAAATTATGGACAGTCCTGAGGCACCCTTTAAAATTATGGACAGCCCCGAGGCACCCTTTAAAATTATGGACAGCCCCGAGGCACCCTTTAAAATTATGGACAGTCCTGAGGCACCCTTTAAAATTATGGACAATCCTGAGGCACCCTTTAAAATTATGGACAGTCCTGAGGCACCCTTTAAAATTATGGACAATCCTGAGGCACCTTTTAAAATTATGGACAGCCCTGAGGCACCCTTTAAAATTATGGACAGTCCTGAGGCACCCTTTAAAATTATGGACAATCCTGAGGCACCCTTTAAAATTATGGACAGCCCTGAGGCACCTTTTAAAATTATGGACAGCCCTGAGGCACCTTTTAAAATTATGGACAGTCCTGAGGCACCCTTTAAAATTATGGACAGCCCTGAGGCACCCTTTAAAATTATGGACAGCCCTGAGGCACCCTTTAAAATTATGGACAGCCCTGAGGCACCCTTTAAAATTATGGACAGTCCTGAGGCACCCTTTAAAATTATGGACAGTCTTGAGGCACCCCATTCTAAAATGGGGTGCCTCAAGACTGTCCATCATTTTAAAAGAACACCCCATTCTAAAATGTGAAAAACTTTTCTAATAGTTTTATATAACGCAGCAACATCCACACACATAGGACACCCAATATTAGAGGTGATTAATTCTTCCAAAGCAAATATACTTTTGCACGCTGGTACTGGCTAGTATTCCACTGTTTCTCTTCTCCCTCAGTTTCTCCTCCATCACTGAGCTAATGTAACCCCAGCATTGATGGAGAGGGGCAGGGGAGGGTCAAACTAGAATGCTGTGCAGGCAACTGACATCCTCCTTATCAGCTGATGGTGTAATTGGTTGTCAGGACGCCGGCGGCTAGAAGGTCGTAATGATGCACAATGCTCTAGTGGTCCACGGCACGGGGTTTCCCAGGACGCGGAGTCTAAGTCCCAGTCTGCCTTTTCACCAGGGCCCCTGATGGTGGGGATGGACTTGGTGCAAGACTGAAACCAGGTCGCGTCCCTGGGCACCCCCGGCGGTGGCAGAGGGGTCCCGCTGAGGGTATATGCCCGGGTTGAGCCTGCTGTGAAGGGGATGACAGATCCCGATCCGAGCTGGATGGATGGGATGACAGATCCCGATCCGAGCTGGATGGATGGGATGACAGATCCCGATCCGAGCGGGATGGAGCAGGGATGGGGGCAACTATCAGGAGTAGGCGAGGTCAGACTAGCCGGGTCGGTATTGTGCGGGCAGCGTGGTACAGGGGGAGTAAGCGGAGAATGGTCGGGGTCACAAGCCAGGTTCAGCAGGTAGCGGGCAACGCGCGGTACAGAGGGTCAGGCAGAAGGATGGTCAGGGACGAGCCGGGGTCAGAGCAGGAGAGGGTCAGCATAAACAGAACAGGCAGAGTTTGGCAACAAGGAAGCGTACTTACAGGACAGGAACAAGACCTTGCGGCAACCTGGAGATGCACAGGGCAGCTTTAAATAGAGCGCCCTGTTCTCCCATTGGTGCGGCCGCGATCGCTACTGCGCATGCGCGGCCGCCGCCGCGATCGCCGGCTGGGTCGGATCGGCCGTCTGCGCATGCGCGCGCCGCCGAGGACCCGGGATCCCTGACATTGCCCCCCCCCCCCCCCTACGGGCAACCTCCGGATGCCCAACCGACCCCTACCGAACGGCTGGTTCTGAAAAAATTCCCGCACAAGTCTCGGGGCGTGCACATTTTGGGCCGGCTCCCATGAATTTTCCTCCGCCCCATATCCTTTCCATTTAACCAGAAACTGAGTTCGGCCTCCCCTCTTCCTACAGTCTAAGATAGCTTCAACTTCAAACTCCTCCTCCCCATCCACGTCTACTGCCTCCGGTGGTTTAGACCTTCGATCTGGGAAGGGATCTGGAGTTGCTGGTTTCAACAGGGACACGTGGAAGACCGGATGAACCTTCATAGACTCGGGCAGTGCAAGCTCGTATGCCACCTCGTTGATCCTACGTTTTACACGAAAGGGCCCCAAGAATTTGGGAGCCAGTTTCTTTGAAGGGCAGGGCATTTTCAAATTTGCGGTGGACAACCAAACCTGGTCCTCTGGCTGCAAACTCAATTCCCCCCTTCTCTTCTTATCAAATGCCCTCTTATTGTCACCCTGGGCCTTTGCCATTGCTTCCTGCAATACCTTGCTATTGGTTGACAAAAAGTTCAACATATCCTGCGTGGCCGGGACTGCGACCTCCGGGATCAGATCGGGCAGGAATACAGGGTGGAACCCATAGTTTGCGAAAAACGGGGACTGTCTAGTAGCAGAGTGACTTGCATTATTATATGCGAATTCCGCAAGCGGCAGGAGAGTAACCCAGTCATTTTGGAGGAAGGTGGTATAGCACCTGAGGTACTGCTCTAGGGTCTGGTTTGTACGCTCCGTCTGGCCATTGGTCTGTGGGTGATAAGCTGAAGAGAACGATAACTTAATCCCCAGGGTTTCACATAGAGCTTTCCAGAACCTGGACGTAAACTGAACCCCTCTGTCAGATACAATGTCCCTGGGAATTCCGTGGAGTCTTACCACTTCCTTAATAAACACACGTGCTGTCTCAAGGGCCGTAGGTGTGTCCTTTAGAGGTACAAAATGGGCCATCTTGGACAGGCGGTCTACAATCACGAAGATTGCTGTGTGGTCCTGAGAGGGTGGAAGTTCCACGATAAAGTCAATGGAAATCATGGTCCATGGCCTGTCGGGTATGGGTAATGGGCGCAAGAGACCCCAAGCTTTATTCCTAGTGGGTTTGTTTCTCTGACAAACGGGACAGGTCTTTATGTAGGTTTCGCACTCCCTGGCCATATTAGGCCACCAGAAAGTACGCTGCAGCAGCTCCAAGGTCTTACGTACCCCAAAGTGCCCAGCCAGTGGGTGATCGTGGCAGTATCCTAATACCAATGTACGGGCCTCCTCAGGGACCACAATCCGATCCTCCTTCCAAAAAAGTCCTTCCCTATTTAGTAAGGGGACACCGGGTGGACCTTGCATTCCTACGGACGCGGTCTGCAGTTGAGAATGGAGCTCCGATTGGAGAACTAAGAAATTTCCTGGGGACAGGATAGTGTCTGGCTTGGGATTCTCTTCGGGATCCCCAAACATGCGGGAGAGCGCATCTGGTTTTGTGTTCTTAGACCCTGGCCTATAGGTTATATGGAAAAAGAACCGTGAAAAGAACAGCGCCCACCTGGCTTGACGTGGCCTCAGACGTTTAGCTGTCCTCAGATATTCTAGGTTCTTATGATCCGTAAAAATCAATATTGGGTGTACCGCCCCTTCTAACAAGTATCTCCATTCCTCTAGTGCCACCTTAATCGCCAAGAGCTCCCGATCCCCGATATCATAATTCCTTTCCGCAGGAGTTAGTTTCCTGGAGAAGAAAGCCACTGGGTGCATGAGTTCTTTGATGCCCTTCCTCTGGGACAGGATCGCCCCGACCGCATTCTCGGATGCGTCCACCTCCAAGATATATGGCAAGGACGAATCAGGGTGGCTCAGAATAGGAGCTGCCGTAAACAATTCCTTTAAGGCTTCAAAAGCCCTCTGTGCCTCAGGTGTCCATTGGAAGCGAACCCCCTGCCTGGTCAGCTGGGTGATAGGGGACACTAGGCCCGAAAAGTTCTTAATGAACTTTCTGTAGAAGTTCGCAAAGCCGATGAAGCGTTGGACCGCTTTCTTATCGGTGGGGGCCGGCCAATCTAAAATGGCCGAAACCTTTTGGGGATCCATGGCTATTCCCGTGGGAGAGATGGTTAGACCCAAAAACGAAATGCTACTCTGTTCAAAGCAGCACTTGTCTGCCTTGGCATATAAGCTGTGTTGGCGGAGCCGTTCTAACACGCGCCTCACGTGACCTCTATGGTCCTCCAAGGTTGGGGAAAAGACAAGGATATCGTCCAGGTATACAATGACGAAGATATCTAGGTAGTCCCTGAACACATCGTTTATGAAATGTTGGAAGGTGGCAGGGGCGTTGCATAGGCCGAAGGGCATAACCAAATATTCAAAGTGTCCGAATCTGGTACGGAATGCTGTCTTCCACTCGTCCCCCTCTCTGATACGAACTAAATTATAGGCACCTCTCAAGTCTAGTTTAGTGAAGACAGATGCTGACTTCAGCCTCTGAAAACAGCTCGGGGACTAGTGGTAGCGGGTAACGGTTCTTTACTGTGACCTTATTCAAGTCCCGGTAATCTACGCAGGGCCGGAGGGACTTGTCCTTTTTCTCCACAAAGAAAATGCCCGCCCCGGCTGGTGACGTGGAGGGTCTAATAAACCCCTTATGGAGGTTTTCATCTATATATTCTTTTAGTACCCCTAACTCCCGCTCGGATAAGGGGAATATCCGCCCAAATGGGATTTCCGACCCTGGGAGGAGATCAATTGGGCAGTCATAAGCTCGGTGCGGGGGGAGAGAGTGTCCGCCCCCCGCTTGCTAAATACATCTAGAAAACTATGGTAGACTGACGGAATGACTTGCGCCAGCTCCGCATCTGTCTCTAGACACAACAAAGTCGGTGGATTCGGGGAGAACTTAGGGAGGCAATGCTGCTGGCAGTATGGGGAGAGAAACTGCATAGAACCCGCCTTCCAGTCTACCTGGGGATTATGGGCTCGCAACCACGGGAGCCCCAAAATAATTGGAAATAGTGGGGATGCTATGGCGTCCAACCGAAGGAGTTCTTCATGATGGGTCGATACGGTAGTACGGATAGGTGGGGTCTCGTGGTCCACCACCCCTGACTTAATACGTGATCCATCTGCTAGAAAAATATTCAATCCCACCTCCTTGGTTTGTAGGGGAATTTGTTGCTGAACTGCAAAGTCTAAATCTATGAAGCAACTACACGCC